GAAACTCGGGCACTGCCCGAGGGCCCGGGGTCAGTAGGGGGCCCCATGAGATGCCCCTGGTACCTTTTTCATAGGCTTTTTTTGAGTTTGGGCAAGGACACAGGGGCCCCATGATCCCCTATTGCCCGGGGGCCCCATGAGTTGTCAGTCCGCCCCTGCACATTCCAAACATACAGTTGGAAGTTTCTCCAATTTGACCGCAAAGGTGGAAAAACACCAAGTTCTGTTATATCCTAGACTTGTACTCTTGTTAAATAGACCAGTTTAATTCACTACTGCAATTATTATTTCCAACCCTTGCAGGATGAATATAATGATGCCATCCCCACCAGTGTTTTAGGGAAGAGCTGCTTTGTAACATTGATTGAAATCTACGATGAGATGGATATGGGCAGGGGGGACAGCACATACCGAGACACATTTACCAGTCAGTCAAGCATGTCATTTATAAGACACCTCTGGAAGTCTGAGTCAAACTTACAGTCCATGAACTTGTGCCTATGCGGTTTAATCTGTGTCTGACGGATGGGATCAGCAGCAGCGCAAAATATTAAAGCTGCGGGGCCAGAGCCTGCTGCGTGAAACCAGCTGTAATGCATGTGCCCCACTCAGGGCTCTGAGCCCTGCCAACCGCCGAGATGTATTATCCTGGTAGCTGTGCCCAGCTGGAATTCATTCGGAGAACATGTCACTCAAAACACCAAATATTCCAGCTCTTCTCATGGAAAAGCCTTTCCGCTGCAAGATTACCCTGATAAGTCAATCTTTGAGCCTTGAATATGCTGCCACCAAGTGTTTCATACCTGCATCTCGTCAGCTGCCCATACACCCGGAGAATTTCATTTGCAAAAAATTGTTTTGCATTCTCGTTTCTTGCAGAAACATTTCTTTATGGATGTCTATGGAGAAAAGCACACAGGTGGAGCAAACACCTCGCGCATTATTCAAGGTTTATTAAAATGTTTTAAAAGACAATAAACATACTCACAAAATATGTACATGAAAAGGCTGTAAAGCCCAAAATGATGGCAGAGAGTCCAAATGGTGGGGCGGTTGGCCTGCTGATGCATTTTGGAGACGTGTCCCTTTCCTCAGAGCTGAAGCAGACCTGAGCAGACCTGAGTTGGTGCCCTAATATATATATATATATGTGACCAGTGCCCTCTGTAGCAAAGAATAGTTTTTAATAAATAGTGTCATTTTACGTGGCCTACCACTTGGTGGCTGAGTTGCTGTTGTTCCCAGTTGCTTCCACTTTGTTATAATCCCACTAACAGTTGAGCATGGAATATTTAGTAGCCAGGAAATGTCACGGATGGACTTATTGCAGAGGTGACAACCTATCACGGGACCACGCTTGGAGTCACTGAGCTCCTGAGAGCGACCCATTCTTTCACCAATGTTTGTAGAAGCAGTCTGCATGCCTAGGGGCTTGATTGTATACACCTGTGGCCATAGAGGTGATTGGAACACCTGAATCCAATGATTTGGAGGGCTGGCTCAATACTTTTGGAAATATAGTGTATACACAGTCATATTCATACAGTCATAGCCATACGCAGTCATTTGCATACACAGCCATAGACATACACAGCCATAGACCTACACAGCCATAGACATAGACAGCCATAGACCTACACAGCCATAGACCTACACAGCCATAGACCTACACAGCCATAGACCTACACAGCCATAGACATACACAGCCATAGACATAGACAGCCATAGACCTACACAGCCATAGACCTACACAGCCATAGACATACACAGCCATAGACATAGACAGCCATAGACCTACACAGCCATAGACATACACAGCCATAGACGTACACAGCCATAGTCGTACACAGCCATAGACCTACACAGCCATAGACCTACACAGCCATAGACATACACAGCCATAGACATACACAGCCATAGACATAGACAGCCATAGACCTACACAGCCATAGACCTACACAGCCATAGACATACACAGCCATAGACATAGACAGCCATAGACCTACACAGCCATAGACCTACACAGCCAAAGACCTACACAGCCATAGACCTACACAGCCATAGACATACACAGCCATAGACATACACAGCCATAGACGTACACAGCCATAGTCGTACACAGCCATAGACCTACACAGCCATAGACCTACACAGCCATAGACATACACAGCCATAGACCTACACAGCCATAGACATAGACAGCCATAGACCTACACAGCCATAGACCTACACAGCCATAGACCTACACAGCCATAGACCTACACAGCCATAGACATACACAGCCATAGACATAGACAGCCATAGACCTACACAGCCATAGACCTACACAGCCATAGACATACACAGCCATAGACATAGACAGCCATAGACCTACACAGCCATAGACATACACAGCCATAGACGTACACAGCCATAGTCGTACACAGCCATAGACCTACACAGCCATAGACCTACACAGCCATAGACATACACAGCCATAGACATACACAGCCATAGACATAGACAGCCATAGACCTACACAGCCATAGACCTACACAGCCATAGACCTACACAGCCATAGACATACACAGCCATAGACATAGACAGCCATAGACCTACACAGCCATAGACCTACACAGCCAAAGACCTACACAGCCATAGACCTACACAGCCATAGACCTACACAGCCATAGACCTACACAGCCATAGACCTACACAGCCATAGACATAGACAGCCATAGACATAGACAGCCATAGACCTACACAGCCATAGACCTACACAGCCAAAGACCTACACAGCCATAGACCTACACAGCCATAGACATACACAGCCATAGACATAGACAGCCATAGACCTACACAGCCATAGACATACACAGCCATAGACATACACAGCCATAGACCTACACAGCCATAGACATACACAGCCATAGACCTACACAGCCATAGACATACACAGCCATAGACATACACAGCCATAGACATAGACAGCCATAGACCTACACAGCCATAGACCTACACAGCCATAGACCTACACAGCCATAGACATACACAGCCATAGACATAGACAGCCATAGACCTACACAGCCATAGACCTACACAGCCAAAGACCTACACAGCCATAGACCTACACAGCCATAGACCTACACAGCCATAGACCTACACAGCCATAGACATACACAGCCATAGACATAGACAGCCATAGACCTACACAGCCATAGACCTACACAGCCAAAGACCTACACAGCCATAGACATACACAGCCATAGACATACACAGCCATAGACATAGACAGCCATAGACCTACACAGCCATAGACATACACAGCCATAGACATACACAGCCATAGACCTACACAGCCATAGACATACACAGCCATAGACATACACAGCCATAGACATACACAGCCATAGACCTACACAGCCATAGACATACACAGCCATAGACATAGACAGCCATAGACCTACACAGCCATAGACCTACACAGCCAAAGACCTACACAGCCATAGACCTACACAGCCAAAGACCTACACAGCCATAGACCTACACAGCCATAGACATACACACAGCCATAGACATAGACAGCCATAGACCTACACAGCCATAGACATACACAGCCATAGACCTACACAGCCATAGACCTACACAGCCATAGACCTACACAGCCATAGACATACACAGCCATAGACATACACAGCCATAGACCTACACAGCCATAGACATACACAGCCATAGACATACACAGCCATAGTCAAAAATGATCATAGTCATGAACAGCCATAGTCATACAGAGCTATAGCCACACATAACAATAGCAATATTTTTTCGTACAAACGTGTATGGCCATCTTTAGTGTCAATCACAGACCATTATCAGTTCCACATAAGTGACAACTGTAGATCACAAACAAGAAACCTTTGAATTTTTTTCCCCAACCTTTGAGTCACCAGCTGTTGAGGAACTGCAAGTCCCCGGACGCCTGAACAAGCAGCGGTTGTCAAAAACTGCTGAAACAATGTCAAATACAAACTATTACACATGTCTGGATATAAGCCTGACATTAATCAAGAGACCGTAAAAACGCATTGGCCTCATTAAAGGCATTTGTCAGAGGAAATAAGTAATCAGCTTTTAACAATGCCAATTAAAGTGGTCCAAACAGAACTAAAGCTGTGAGTGCATTGCTGCTGACATGTCTACAAATAGCTTATTAACAACATTGGAGCTTGGTTCTAAGAGCAGCGTGTGCCGGAAGATCCACATTCTGTATAACAGAAAGCTGTGCTGGGGGGAGAGAGCAAATGCTAATTAGGATTAAGAGGATAAAATCCTAATTTTCAGGCTGCCGAATGTGCGGCACTGAGCATGGTGGTGGTGGTGGTGGGGGGGGGGGTAGCAAGGTATATCACCATCTCCAAATGGAGAATGTTCAAAAAGTAATGAGACTGAGGCCATCAACAAATATAACAAATTTAGATGTATTAAATCTTACCAAAACTTGGATTCCCCACCAAAGAAAAGGAAGGATGCAACAAGGACACCCAGGAATTGTCTTTAACCCCTCGCCTACAGGGCACTTATACCCCCTTCCTGCCCAGGCCAATTTCCAGCTTTCAGCGCTGTTGCAGTTTGAATGACAATTGCGCGGTCATGCAACATTGTACCCATATGAAATTTTTATCATTTTTTTGTGACAGATAGAGCTTTCTTTTGGTGGTATTTAATCACCTCTGGGTTTTTTATTTTTTCTTAAACAAACCAAAAACCACTGAAAATTTTGAAAAAAAAAAAAAAAAACGTTTTTTCTTAGTTTTTTGTTATAAAATTCTGTAAATAAGTGATTTTTCTCCTTCACTGATGTGCACTAATGAGGCTGCAGTGATGGGCACTGATAGGTGGCACTGATGGGCACTGATGAGGAGGCACTGGTAGGTGGTACTGATGGGCATTGAAAGGCATCACTGATGGGCACTGAAAGGCAGCACTGATACATGGCACTGATATATGGCACTGATAGGAGGCACTGACTGGCACTGATAGGAGGCACTGACTGGCACTGTTAGGCGGCACTGACTGGCACTGATAGGTTGCACTGATTGGCATTGATAGGTGGCACTGACTGGCACTGATGGATGACACTGAAAGGCAGCTCAGATGGGCACTGATATGTGGCATTGATTGGGCACTGATAGGCACTGGCACGTGGCACTGATGAGCACTGACTGCTGGCACTGATGGACTTTGACAGGTGGCACTGCTGGGACTACACTGATCATCAGGGCACACTGATCATCAGTGCCCTGATGATCAGTGTACATGTCCCCTCCGTGGAATGCCGATTACTGGCTCTCCTCTCCTCTGTCAGCGTGACAGTTTGAAAGGAGAGAAATGCTGATAACCGGCCTTTCCGTGTTTACATGTGTTCAGCTGTGATTGGACATAGCTGATCACATGACCGAGCCAACATCTTCGGCTATTTCCGTGATCGGTGATCCGCTGTGTCCTAGGGACACAGTGCACGGCCGATCGCCGCACTGCGCGCTCCCTGAGCCGCTCATGCGCGGTGAGAATGAGAGGACGTCATATGACGGGCGGGAGGTGGTTAAAGCAAAACTCAACTGTATCTGAGAACCGCAAACTGAAAACACTATTTAATTCATTTTTAATATTCAAAGCAAACTCCGTCATCCATCCATGTCACCATTCTTTAGTTTGTTGGAAAATCACTTTAAAAAACACCTCCTCAGCATTCCCGGCCATGGTCATCTTGCCCTTATCTCAGGCATGCAGGCAGGAGGGTGTGCTTAGCCTCCTCCCCTTCTGAAGACTCCTGGGATGTGTGACATCATTTTGGCCTAGGCCAGAAACCACAAAGCAACTGAAGAATTGTATAAAAAAAGTTTAGAAAAAATAAATATAATATACCTACCTACCTAATTACTAATGACCATTTGCAGGTGAATTAACTCATAATAATGTATAATATATCCCTTTGCCTCAAGCTGACCTTTTCTCCTTTCCAACTGTGTTCATCTACAACCCCCTCCTCTCCCATAGGTGGATATTTTTTTTTAAATACTTTTTATGGGGAACACATTCCCATACTTCCTGGTTTGTTGTTGCCTAGGTTAGAATGACACATTCATTGTCTGCAGCCTCCAGAGAAACTCACATCACAGGAGAACTTCCCTACATTAACCAGGGGTCAACTGTCTCCTTCTTTCTGCAGGCAGCCACCAATAAAGTGGCCCATGGACACCATCACAGGGCCAGTTGCAGGGACCTAGAAGAGACAGGTGACCCCCTGATGACATCAGAAGAAGATGGTGGTGCTGGACTAGGTATGTAGCAGTGGTTCCCTACAGAACACTACTGGATCGTCTAGAATGTTATGTTTTTTTGGAGAACCCAACTATAGAGGTAAGATGGAGAAACTTTTTTTTTATTCATAAACTGGGGTGGTTGCTGTTGTTTAATTGAATTCATCTTCTGACCAAGACACCCAGAATGATTTTAGTGTCCACTCTCCTTTAAAGTGGTTCTAAAGGCAGAAAGTTTTATTTTTACCTTAACCTCCTTGGCGGTATGATTCTTTCCGATTTTTTGTGCTGAAAGCGGTACCATTTTTTTGCATGGAAATATGTAGTTTTATATTGTAGGCTGTAATTTTTAGGAATAACTCACTGAAATCTGTCCGAACAAGAGTCTATTAAACATCCCGGGTAGGATAAAATTTGAAACACGAAATCATAAATTATAATTTAATAAATAATCATAAAAAATAATAATATAATAATAATAATAAATTTAATTCAATAATATAATCAAACCAAAAACACTGAAATTTGAAATACAGAGGTAAATTCGCACATCGCTGAGCAAAGTCGCAAAATCGTTTTCAGTTTCTGATGACGAATTTCCCCCACGAATCATTATCACTCAATTCTGCAAATGGTTCTCATTTACTATCGCTGGTCTAAAACCGCTTTTGACGTAAAGGGACGCTTTTTGGACGCCATGGACTTTTCTAAGTTTCCAAGCAGAAAGAACAGACAAAATGCAGGCAGGGCGCAGGACAAAGCAGTAGGGACAAAATATATGTGAAATGCATTGAAACAGCATTGACAGCAAAAATGACATTTTTTAAAATTTTCAAATTTCCCGCCGGTTCCGGCGCCAGTACGTCCCGACGTCACAGGGACCGAAACACGGAAGCCGGATGCCGGCATCGGCCAGAGGAGATGGCCGGGGACGCTGCAGGGGACACATCGTGGGAGCGAAGGACAAGGTAAGTGCTGCAGGGACCCCCTGAGCAACGCCGCATGGTAAGCCCGACTGTAGCTCGGGGTTACCGCTCTTGGTATAGAAATTTTACCCCCAGCTACACTCGGGAATACCGCTAAGGAGGTTAATGCATTCTATGCATTGAGGTAAAAAACCTTCTGCATGCAGCTAGACATCCTCCCCCCAGCCACCACCCTCCTCTTATACTTAACAAAGCCCAATCCTGATCCAGCCATGTGCACGAGAGTAGAGGTTCTCTCAGCTCTCTCTCTCCTCATTGGCAGCAAGGAGAGCCATTGGTGAGGAAGGAGTGAGGGCTCGAGAGCAAGCATGCACAAATGCCTCCATAGCAATTGGATTGCTATGGGGGCACTCAGAGGAAGAGAGGAGTCAGGATAGATGGTGGGGAACCCCAGAAGAGGTGGATCAGGGCTGCTCTGTGCAAAACCAATACACAGAGCAGGTAAGTCCAAATTCTATGAATTTTAATAAAAAATTTATTTTTTAAGCAGCATTTGCCGTTTCACAGAAAAGTTTTTCAACTTTCTGAAGTCACATAATAAGTTATAAAGTCAATTTAGTTGAAAACAGCTCTTGGTGATGTTTTTCTTTGGCCTCGTGTGCACTGCCGTCTAAATGGACTGGCTGTCCAGCATTCCTAGCCATCATCGAGCGCTCCTTAGTGCTGGGGGATGAAATTTGTATTGATCAGAATGGCTCAGATGGTACCAGTACCTGGTTCACTTTGCTGAGCATGGGCTGCTAAGCGTGTTTTGTGTCGATGCTGAACCCTCATCCTTTCTAATGTACTCTTAAGAGCTTCTCTCTGTTTGGAAAAATGCTAAAGCCATGGGATGGCATGTGAAATTCAAACATAAGCAGCAAGTGCACTGTAGGCTAAGGTAAATATAAAACCCAAACTAAATAACATTTTAATCATTGTTACAGCTCAGTACCTCTGATCTCCTGCAGCTTTTTGAGTCTACGTCAGTGGTGGTCAACTTTTTGGTATGGGGGGCCTCAAGTGCGGCTCCCAGCATCACCAAGGATTGCACAGGGACAGCAAACACTATGGGATATAGTCAAAGACTATGGACATGCAGGATTCAGTTGTGCTCAAAAGTCTGCATACCCTGGCAGAAATGGTGACATTCTGCCATGGATATTGAAAATATGACTGATCATGCCAAAACACTGTCTTTCATTTATTGATAGTGATCATATGAAGCCATTTTTTATTAACATAGTTTTTTGGCTCCTTTTTAAATCATAATGATAACAGAAATCACTCATATGGCCCTGATCAAAAGTTTCCATCCCCTGGAATGTTGGGCCTTTGTATAGACACACAAGGTGACACACACGGGTTAAAATGGCAGATAAAGGTTAATTTCCGAAACCTGTGACTTTTTAAAGCGCAATTAGTGTCAGTGTATAAATAGTCAATGGGTTTGTTATCTCTCACGTGGATGCACTGCAGTCTAGATACTGAGCCATGGGGAGCAGAAAAGAACTGTCAAAAGACCTGCGTAGCAAGGTAATGGGACTTTATAAAGATGGAAAAGGATATAAAAAGATATCCAAACCCTTGAACATGCCAGTCAGTACTGTTCAATCACTTTTCAAGAAGAGGAAAATTCGGGGATCTCTTGATATCAAGCCGAGTTCAGGTAGACCAAGAAAGATTGCAGCCACAACTGCCAGAAGAATTGTTCAGGATACAAAGAAAAACCCACAGGTAACCTCAGGAGAAATGCAAGCTGCTCTGGAAAAAGACGGTATGTTGCTTGAAGGAGCACTATTTGCCGATAGTTGAACAACAATGAGCTGCATGGTCAAGTTGCCAGAAAAAAGCCTGTTCTGCACCAATACCACAAAAGAAGCCCAGTTACAATGTTTGACAACACCTTGCCTCACAGATTCTGGCACACTGTAATCTGGAGTGACGAGACCAAAATAGAGCTTTACGGTCACAAACATAACACTATTTTTGGAGAGGAGTCAGAAAGGCCTATGGCGACAAAAGTACAATCCCCACTGTGAAGCATGGTGGTGACTCACTGATGTTTGGGGGGGGTGAGGCACAGGGAATCTTGTGAAAATTGATGGAAAGATGAAAGCAGCATGTTATCAGAAAATATTGGCAGAGAATTTTCATGCTTTGCACAAAGGCTGACACCCTCCCGGATCGACGAGAGTCCTGCCCAGCCGTCATTTTACTATAGGTCGGGCGGGAAGTGGTTAAAGAGGATCTTCACACTGTGTAGAAAAAATTAAAAGTCAACAGGTACAAATACTGTACCTACTAATTTTTAATAAAAGACACTTACCTGTCCAGGGATCCTGCACCATGCTCACCCGAACTGCTTCATCGTCAGTTTTCAGGTCCCTGGCACCAGCATGTTTACTGTGGGCTGCCGGCTATGATTCCTTACAGCTCCACAGCCGGCTGCCACTGCACATTCTAGAACCACGTTGGATTTTCTGAATAGCCCCATAACCTTCTAGAACCTGTAATGTGTCCCAGAAGGCTGTGGGGGGAGGAGAACTTCCGGTGGATCGCTCCTAAACGGAAGTGGGAGCAGGTACCTGTCAAACCCAGGTACCCACGGAAATTTCTCTTTATGGTGAATTTCTGCTTTAAGTGGCTCTAGCGTAGGACTCTCATTGTTAGCAACCGCCTGGCAGTACCTCTAGCAGCCCACAGGACAGGATTCCTCAGAGCGCGGAGTCTAAGCCCCAGCCTGCTTGTTCACCAGGGCCCCTGATGGTGGGGATGGACTTGGAGCAGACTGGAACCAGGTCGCGGCCCCTGAGTACACCCATCTGCGGTAGAGGAATCCGCCGGGGGTCTGTGCAGGTGGAGAGCCTGACGTGAAGAGGCAGAAAGCGGAAGCAGGGATGGCTGGATCCATGCCGAATGGATGGACGGATGAGTGTGGTCAGACGGGCCAGGTCGGTAACAGAGAGGTCAGCATAGTACAAGGCAGAAGGCAGAAGAATAGTCAGGTCACTCGCCGGGGTCGTTACCAGTAGTTCAGATCAGGTAGGGATATCCAAAGAGAGGTCAAACTTAGCCAGGGGTCAGAGCAGGAGAAGTCAGCAGAGGTCAGGTCCAGGCAGGTCAGCAACGAATCTTCAACAACAGAGTACAGGAACACAGGAATAAGACCATACGGCAATGTGTGTAGGTGCAGGGTAGGTTTAAATAGTGCGCCCTGCCCTGCCATTGGTGC